TGCTAGGGTAAAACGAGACTCCTGAAATTTGTTGTACTTACTAACTTTAACCTTCTGAATACGAATCTGAGCTCAGAAATTCCTTTCAGAGCTTGTTTTTTTATATTACTAATTTTGGAAAAATGACATCGCCTGTTTTATCGATCTGTCAAGCCTGAACGGCCAAGTTATCAGGACTAGAAGATCATTGACAGTAATAAGAAAGTTCTCAGGCATCAAATGGTATAAACCGAAAGCCGGAGACTTGAACCGTTTTGAAATGATGACCTCTTAAACAGAAAAAATATTTTCTGAGAAATATCTCGTTTAACAAATGACTTTGTGGTACTAGTTTTCTTATGTCATAACGGAAACTTCTGAAATTTGTTCTACTTACTAATTTCAACCTTCTGAATACGAATCCGAGTTTAGAATTTCCCTTTCGAGCGTCCTGAATTTTTTTGATTTTTTTAAATTACTAATTTTGGAAAAACGACATCGTCTGTTTTATTGGTTCCTCAAGCCCGAACGCCTAAGTTATCAGGAATAGAAAATCATTTGCAACAATAAGAAAGCTCCCAGGAATCGAATGGTATAAACCGGAAGCCGGATACTTGAACCGTTTTGAAATGATGAGCTCATAAACAGAACAAATATTTTCTGAGAAATATTTCGTCTAACAAATGATTTTTGTGGTACTAGTTTTCTTATTCCATGACGGAAACTCCTGAAATTTGTTCTATTGACTAATTTCAACCCTCTGAATACGAATCCGAGTTCAGAATTTCCCTTCAGAGCTCCCTGATTTTTTTTTTATTTTTTTACATTACTAATTTTGGAAAAACGACATCGTCTGTTTTATCGGTCCCTCAAGCCCGAACGACTAAATTATCAGGACTAGCAAATGATTAGCAGTAATAAGAAAGCTCCCAGGAATCGAATGGTATAAACCGGAAGCCGGATACTTGAACAGTTTTGAAATGATGACCTCTTAAACAAAAAAAATATTTTTTGAGAAATATCTCGTTTAACAAATGACCTTTGTGGTACTAGTTTTCTTATTCCATAACGGAGACTCATGAAATTCGTTGTACTTACTAATTTCAACCCTCTGAATACGAATTCGAGTTCAGAATTTCCCTTCAAAACTTCTTGAATTTTTTTGATTTTTTTATATTACTAATTTTGGAAATACGACATCGTCTGTTTTATCGGTTCCTCAAGCTCGAACGGCTAATTTATCAGGACTAGAAAATCATTGGCAATAATAAGAAAGCTCCCAGGAATCGAATGGTGGAAACCGGAAGTCGAATACTTGAACCGTTTTGAAATAATGAGCTCATAAACAGAAAAAATATTTTCTGTGTAATATCTGGTCTAACAAATGACCTTTGTAGTACTAGTTTTCTTATTCCATAACGGAGACTCCTGAAATTCGTTTTATTTACTAATTTCAACCTTCTGAATACGAATCTGAGATCAGAATTTCCCCTCAGGGCCTCCTGTTTTTTTTTTATTTTTTTATATTACTAATTTTGGAAATACGACATCGTCTGTTTTATCGGTCTCTCAAGCCCGAACCGCTAATTTATCAGGTCTGGAAAATTATTGGCAGTAATAAGAAAGCTCCCAGGAATCGAATGGTATAAACCGGAAGGCGAATACTTGAACCGTTTTGAAATGATGAGCTCATAAACAGAAAAAATATTTTCTGAGAAATATCTCGCTTGACTTTTGTGGTACTAATTTTCTTATTCCATAACGGAGACTCCTGAAATTTGTTGTACTTACTAATTTCAACCATCTGAATACGAATCCGAGTTCAGAATTTCCATTCAGAGCTTCCTGAATTTTTTTTAATTTTTTTATATTACTAATTTTGGAAAAACGACATCGTCTGTTTTATCGGTTCCTCAAGCCCGAACGGCTAAGTTATTAGGACTAGAAAATCATTGTCAATAATAAGAAAGCTCCCAAGAATCGAATGGTATAAACCGGAAGCCGGATACTTGAACCGTTTTGAAATGATGAGCTCATAAACAGAAAAAAATATTTTTTGTGAAATATCTCGTCTAACAAATGACCTTTGTGGTACTAGTTTTCTTATTCCATAACGGAGACTCCTGAAATTCGTTGTACTTACTAATTTCAAACGTCTGAATACGAATCCGAGTTTAGAATTTCCTTACGGAGCTTTCTGAATTTTTTTGATTTTTTTATAATACTAATTTTTGAAAAATGACAATGTCTGTTTTATCGGTCCTTCAAGCCCGAACGGCTAAGTTATTAGGACTAGAAAATCATTGTCAATAATAAGAAAGCTCCCAGGAGTCGAATGGTATAAACCGGAAGCCGGATACTTGAACCGTTTTGAAATGATGAGCTTATAAACAGAAAAAAATATTTTTTGTGAAATATCTCGTCTAACAAATGACCTTTGTGGCACTAGTTTTCTTATTCCATAACGGAAACTGCTGAAATTTGTTCTATTTACTAATTTCAACCTTCTCGATACGAATCTGAGATCAGAATTTCCTTACGGAACAACATACCCTTTAAGAAAAGAGAGGGTGGGTGGGCGGGGCTAGTTCCTGCAAAGATAAGAGTGATTTTGGCAGATGAGATACTCTCTCAGAAAACCGAGGGAGGGTGGGCGGGGCTAGTTCCTGCAAAGATAAGAGTGATTTTGGCTGATGAGATACCCTCTTAGAAAACCGAGGGTGGGTGGGCGGGACTAGTTCCTGCAAAGATAAGAGTGATTTTGGCAGATGAGATACCTTCTAAGAAAACCGAGGGTGGGTGGGCGGGGCTAGTTCCTGGAAAGATAAGAGTGATTTTGGCAGATGAGATACCTTCTAAGAAAACCGAGGGTGGGTGGGCGGGGCTAGTTCCTGCAAAGATAAGAGTGATTTTGGCAAATGAGATACCCTCTAAGAAAAGAGAGGGCGGATGGGTGGGGCTAGTGTTTGCTAAGATAAATCTGATTTTGGTAAATGACGTATCCTCTAAGAAATTTAATTAAATTATTATAAGAAAAGACACCAGAGGCTCCAAAACACTTTCAAATTCTTTCCAAATAGGATTACCCAGAACCTCAAGATTGTTAAAAAATGGGCTACCAAAATTAACTGAAAAACAGGTCAAGTCCACCAAAATCCGAGAAGGATTTTTTTTACTATTTGTTTCCATTTTCTAAACACCCGGTGTAATATAACCTGTGGAAAAATAAATAAATGAAATAAAATAAAACACAAAACACATGGATTTCCCAAGATCCTTTCAACCACTTCAAAAGCAAAACAAACGGGGTCCCCAAGATTCTTTTAAACTAGTTCAAAACCAAGATAAGGAAGGGATCCCCAGATTCTTTAAAACTACTTCAAGAAGATTCTTTCAATTACTTCAAAAGCAAGACAATGGATCCCAAAAATTCTTTAAATCTACTTCAAATAAGACGAGGGAACTCCAAGATTTTTTAAGGGGTCTCCCCGAGATTCTTTCAAATTACTTCAAAAACAACACACAAGTGGTCCCCGAGATTCTTTCAAATTGATTCAATCATAATACACAGAAAGATCCCCTAGATACTTTCAAATTATTTTAAAGATAGCGTTCAACACAACTGAAGGTTTTTTATGGCTCGTTATAATCTTAAATCGTCTAGACCTGACCTGACCTGACTTGACCTGACCTGACCCATTTGCAATGTTTGTAGTGAATAGTGATAGAAGCGATTGCTTGACGCGACAACGTGATAACAATTTAATTGTCGTGTCTTAGTTTATATCATTCAGAACAAGTCGCCCCCGATCTCCCAGAGTGAACATTTCAATATGATAGATGATAAAACGCCAGGAAAATATATTACTGACATCAAAACTCGCAGTAAAGCGTTCTGTAAAGTGGTAGTTGATCAAAAATGTCATTAAAATTTACCGGTTTATTTTTCACCGTCGTAATTACATCCATTGCACATTTGTCAAAACACGAAAAGCTAATCTCAATTTTAATCCAATAAGTCACCGTATCGATCCGCCGACGTATAATTTTAGCACCAACAAGTCACACCAATTTACGTTAAATTTCTCTTAGAAGTTATCATTTTCAATAGAAGCTCTCCAGGTTATTGTCGGATCGCAGGCTTTCATAACAGCGTCAGTGATGTTTCATCTTTGTAAAATGTGGGACAGTTAAATTTATGATGTCGTAAGGTGGGATTCTATCTTATTCTTGACATCTGTAATAATGTGAAATGGAAAATATGACTGCAAGGTTTTTATTATTTACGTTGTTGCTTACGCATGATGGTAATTATCTGGAGCAACCGGAAATGGACGGTACGAAACAAGAGGATAATAATCCGCAGACAGTGCTTGATGTTTGAAGGGGCCGATAATGAATTCTTAATTCCAGCCTTTGATAAATTTATAATTAATTAAATCTCGGGCAAAGCGAAACATCGTGTTTATGGGGTGTTCCGACGAAAGTATATCTGAGACGACGTACGTAGATTACATTTACGTGGACCATAAAACTGGCTAAATTTCATCTTGCATGTCGTCACCTTATTACCTTCTGTAGAAATTTCATGTAATGGTGTCGGATGTAATCTAGCTGGAGAGAGAATTCAAATAAGTTACTCAAAAATTTCTGCACAAAGTTTACATTACTTGTCATAAATACTAATCGATCATATTATTTGTGTAGCTATTATGTGAACAACGGTGTATTATATGTGGCCTACACACAATTGCTTTGTGAGCAATTTCAGGGTGCACCATTGTAGCTAGCACATACTTAATGGAGATAGATAACTACCCCTTAGTGTGTTAGTCCTTAGCACAGTTGAGAAAATTTGATTCCGTTTTCGTAATGCAAATCTATGCACATCAGCAACAAGGGAAATTGGCCTAATTGGACCACCACGAAAATCAATGTTGCACTCTCACGCACCTGTTTGATCATCAAAATTCGCACCCTTCGTCGGAATCCCAACTAATGCTGACCTTTTTCTTTTCCAGTTTATACGGAATGCGTGAACGTACATTTCGAAAACAAAGACGGAGGCTTCTTCCTGAAACAATCCCCTCGTCAGCACTTTATGCCTGCACCGGACTTAGGCGGCAGCTCCCCGCCGACAGGATCCCCTTTATCAACCGATCGGTTCACCGTATTCCAGAGCTCGCAACCCATATCTGTTCGAGCCACATACGGCCCATTCAGCACAAAACAAACCGTACCGGCGAGGTACGTCGTTCCCGACCCGCTACCCGTCAACACAACAGGTGAGTCCTATCGTTTTTCCCACACGAAATAGCAAAAATCTCGTCCAGGTCCCGCCATCGACCTGCAGGACCTCGCCACGCACCACCTCGACATGTCTGCCCACATCGTGCGTAACGAGATCCCGCGCGACTCGCCCGTGTTGCGGGTGTTATTCCACACCGGCACCGACCCCGGCGGCCGCCGCCAGCTCCTCCTGGCCCGCCACCACCAGCGCGTCTGTATAGTCCTGCACGCCACGCTGGGCAGCCTGTCGCCGCTGCACGCCGCCTGCAGCCCCGACGGCGAGGACGGGGTGTGTCTGGCGCAAATCACCGTTCCGTCGTCGTGGTGGCCGCCGCTGCCCGCCCCCGACAAGGACGGCCGGCCGGGGAAGATAACCAAGACGCCACCGAGACTGGTTCAAGTGGCTTACTCGGTCATGGAACCCCGGCCGGACGACGCGGAAGGATGCCACCCCAAAATGCAAATACAGCCATCGACCGTTCTGGGGAGCGTGCCGCTGGTGCCCCCGAAGGGTGCTTACAAGGAATTGAAGCTGACGGAGGGGATTATGATGCTGGTGCCGCACCCGCCGCTCTTCCCCAAGTCGAGGATGCACGTGCCGGTGTTCATTGATAAGGAGAAGGCGAAGGTGTTGACGGCCATTATGATAAGGCAAGTATTATTATTAGAGAGCGGATTTATAAGCACAAAAAAATTAAGAATAAGCGCTTAAATAACCACATTTTCAATAAAAAAGTTTTATTTTAAGCAAAAAAGCATTAAAAACATAATCATATTACAAATCAAAGAACACTTCTTAGAACTTTGGATAAAATATTATTACAATAATCCTAGACTTTATATTTTACACACGTATTTCAGTTTTCTTTAAAACAATTTATGATTGTAATATGTTCCAAGTTGTCCACTGTAAAATTTTTTCGCCGATCATTTAAAATGTGTTTAAAATTGGAGAATGTGCGTTCAATATCCACACTCGTTGTTGGCGCAAATTTGAATTTTGCAACTAATGTTGAATCTAACTCCAAATTTTCCACCTTCTGGCCTTGTAAAACACGAGCAACGTCGGAAAGAACACCGAAACCTGCATTTTTATTTAACATTTCGTCAAGTTTTTGAGATACTTTAGTACCAATATCATCCCTTACTGCGTTTGCTTGTTTAAATTCTTTCACTAAGTTTATGGCATCTACCAACAACATGTTGGGTTTTTCTAACTTATCTATTACCTCACAAACGAATTGATAATTGCTTCTTAGAAAAACTAGATCTTGTCGCAAATCTTTGTTTTCCAAAATATTTATGCAATCTTTAATCGATTGAGAAGATTCTTCGCTAAACTCTGTAACTACTTCCTCAAATTCTTTGAAATATTTGTCATAATAAAATGTGGCCTGTAACCATGTTCCCCACTTCGTTATAATCGGCTCTGGGGGCAATGGTATGTTTGGAAATTTTTCCTTCAAATGTTGCACTCTTAGTGGGGCTTTAACAAAAATCTTTTTACCATTTGCCACTAATTTATTAACAGTAGGAAACTGCAAACGTATTCCTTCAGCCACTCTGTTTAAACCGTGGGCAATGCAAGTAGAGTGAATTAAATTGGGGTACAATATTTTTTGATTATTCCCTGCTTTCAACATATAACGAGCTGCATCCGATATCATCAATAAAATTTTATTTGGCAAAAATAGTGACGTAAGACTGTCATTTACAAATCTGGTAATCGTATTGCCATTTGTTTTATCTAACATTTTCATACTTACTACATACCCTCGACTAGGGAAATTTTCATTTAAGATTCCAACAATTAAACTTGCCACGTATCTTCCACAACTATCGGTTGTTTCATCGACAGCGAACCATAAATAATTATCTCCAATGCAATGTTTAATTTCGTTGTAAACTTGCTGAAACACTGGGCCTACATAATTTTTTCGGAGAGTACTTTCAACCGGAATATGTCGATTGCAGTGTTCTTCAAGGAATTCTTGAAGAGGGCCTTTCTCCAATTTTTTTAAAGGTATATTGGACTGGATAATCATTTTACATAAATCGAAATTAAACTGAAACTGCTCATCTTTTGTGGAAGTAGATGCAACAGATTCATGTGTGGTCTGCTGTTTAATTTTAGAAACTTCAAACATTTTCTTCCTTTCTACGTAAAGAGTCGTTCTGACATGTTGCGCCACGTTATATTTTTTATCACTTTGAATCTAAAACAACGTCCATATACAGGATTAACAAAGGAAAATAGATAAAAAAAAATTAGTGGGCTTACGGTTTTCACACAAGCTCTGCAGAATATTTTGTTGTTTTCTAATTTTAATTCTGGAAAATCCCTTATCCACTCATCCGGCGTCGATTTTACTTTCGGTATTCTTTTAAAATATTAGTAATATTAACAAAAAGAACTCAACATGTAACAAGGGAGAACCACGTATAACACTGTACTACGACATATGCGATAGACTGATGGTTGTGAAATAAACGGTTCATTTACTTAAAAGTTTCCATTAGAAAAATTTTAAGGTAGGTAGTTGGGTACAGTAATCCTTTTTTCTAGAAAATCTTCAACGGTCTTGCCGCAAAATGCCGAAAAAGAACATCTGGTTAAAAGCTTTAATTCATTATCAACGGAAGTAAGGATTTAAAGTCATAAAATCTATGGAGTATTTTTCCAATGCTATAATAAAATTTTATTACCCAAACGACCGGAACCTATTCACAGAAAGGGTCTTGAGTAAGTGTACTTCAATGGTCAAGTCCAGGTAAAATGCATACGATACGATACGCCTAACTAATAAGTATTTGTCATCCCGACAAGGCCGACATTTGAACAAAATATGCATTAAAACTCATATTCGTCGAAAAAAGCATTAAATAAGCATATAAGTTTTAATATGCATAAAATAGAAAAAAAAAGGTAAATAAGCATAAAAAAAAAATGTGTCAAATGACTCCAAATTGTATCATAGTTACAGATATAAAAAATTGGTCTAAAGAGTTTAGACAGTACTTCCCTCGCTGTCGGAAACTTGACGACTGCATGCCTATTGTGTTTTTTTTCTCATTACATTTTTGTAGTGGGAATTTAAAAAAAATTGCGATGACGTCATCAACATTTTTGCAAGGACACGTATATCAGTTGGGATAGATGTAGTGTAACACTAAGAATAAAATTATTATATTCTCAAATTTTCGGGAAAATGAATTGGGTCGTTTTGAATATTGATTTGTAATAATCAATAAAATAACGAAACAATTTACTCACGTATACGTATCAGAGGCAACTGAAAATCGTGTATGTATAAACATTCTTAATTTAAGATGACAGGCGTAACAGCATACGTGAGAGTCAAACAGAGAAACTGTAAACAAAACGACCATCGGTTTTATTGCTTCGACTTCCGCTTATTATATAAAACATTGGGTTTTATTTTAATTCTTGACGGTGAAATTCACAATTGGTTGATTATAAACATGTCTATTTCACATTCGCGGAACCAAGTGAACGCATAAAACAAATGCAGGTCTGTAATGTTAAAGTCGATGTAAATAAGCGTGCTACCCTTATGTTTCAACCGAGTTTTTCCTTTAACAAATTTTGTGTCTACCAAATTGGGTTGGTTGGGGTGTAATACTAATAAGTGTTGCCTTTAATTTAATCAATAAAATAAATTGACTTCATTAATTTTTTTGAACCACCTCTTAAGAAAATCTAAAAAATATGAATGGAATGATAAATCACAAGTACAAACTCATCATATTTTTTGCATTTTAGATAGGATTTATTCAGCAAAATTTAAGGGTGACGTCATCAATTTTTTTAGGAGGGATGAATAAATACATTTTGAACAAAAGTTTACCATGCTTATAATAACTTTAGAATATTCCCAAGATTTCAAAGCATTCGGTTTTGTAATTCCTGATTAAATCGATAAAATAAATTCACACCTTCATTAATTTTTTTGAGTCACCCTGCATATGCAAATCCAAAAATATGAATGGAATGATAAATCACAAGTACAGACTCATCATATTTTAGATACGATTTATTCGGCAAACTTTTGAGCTGACGTCATCAGTTTTTTGTAGAAGATAACCAAATATATTTTGACTAAAAATTTATTATGCTCTTTATAACCTTAAAACATCTGCAAGATTTCAAAGCATTCGGTTTTGTAGTTCCTGATTAAATCAATAAAATAAATTTACGCATTCATTAATTTTTTTGAGTCACCCTGTATATGCAAATCGAAAAAATTTGAATGGAATGATAAATCACAAGAAGAGACTCACCATATTTTGTACATTTTAGATAGGATTTATTCAGCAAAATTTTGTGGTGACGTCATAAATTTTTTAGGGGGGACGACCAAATACGTTTTGATCAAAAATTTACCATGCCTATGATAATTTTAAAATATCTTCAAGATTTCGAAGCATTCGGTTTTGTAGTTCCTGAGTAAATCAGTAAAATAAATTTACGCTTTCATTTATTTTCTTGAATCACCCTGTATATGCAAATCCAAAAAATATGAATAGAGTGATAGATCACAAGTACAGACTGATCATATTTTGTACATTTTAGATATGATTTATTCGGCAAATTTTCGAGCTGACGTCATCAAGTTTTTGGAGGGGATAAGCAAATATATTTTGACTAAACATTTATTATGCTCTTTATAACCTTAAAACATCTGCAAAATGTCAGAGCATTCCGTTTTGTAGTTCCTGATTAAATCAATAAAATATATTTACGCATTCATTAATTTTTTTGAGTCACTCTGTATATGCAAATCCAAAAAATATGAATGGAGTGATAAATGACAAGTACAGGCTCATCATATTTTGTACATTTTAGATATGATTTATTCGGCAAACTTTCGAGCTGACGTCATCAAGTTTTTGGAGGGGATAAGCAAATATATTTTGACTAAACATTTATTATGCTCTTTATGACCTTAAAACATCTGCAAGATTTCAGAGCATTCGGTTTTGTAGTTCCTGATTAAATCAATAAAATATATTTACGCATTCATTAATTTTTTTGAGTCACCCTGTATATGCAAATCCAAAAAATATGTATGGAGTGATAGATCACAAGTACAGACTCATCATATTTTGTACATTTTAGATATGATTTATTCCACAAACTTTTGAGCTGACGTCATCAAGTTTTTGGAGGGGATAAGCAAATATTTTTTGACTAAAGATTTATGATGCTCTTTATAGCCTTAAAACATCTGCAACATTTCAAAGCATTCTGGTTAGCAGATTAAAAATTAAATTTCAAAATGTTGTTTTATAATTTTGATTTTTTTTCCAAAAATCTGGACGTTTCGGGTGAAAAGTCGATTCAGAGTTGTAAACTACATGTGTAGGACTATGTTATTTTATACAATTGAAAACCCATTTACTATGTACAATTTTGAAGTGACGTCATCGCATTAGTGGTGGGGATGATTAGACAAATTTTGGTAAGCGTTTTACCATCTACATGATATTCTTAATATAAGTACAAAATTTCACAACAATCGGTCGAGTACTTTCGGAGATTATCTGTCTAATAAAAATCCGGGGGCAGACGGACAGACGGACGGACAGACGGAAATGGGAGACCTATTTCTTCGTCTTCTAGGGGTCAT